TGTATACCGAACACGCCATAAAGCTTCAACTTGATGTGATTGTGAGGATTTGAAAGCCTTGAAATCATTACAATAAGAAACAAAAGAAAACAAATAGGTTAGTTTATTGGATGAGCCATCTCAAGGAAGTACAAGTAGCAAGGATACAAAAGATGAGCCTTCGGGTTCAATGAACAAAATTCAAAATTAGAGGACTTTGACAAAATCTCTAAACGTGGGCCTTCTCCAAATAAACCACCCAAAAGCAAACAGAACAAATTAGTGGCGGCATTTTATAGACAAGTCACGGATAGAAAAAAAAAGTGTAAAAAAGTCATTAAAAACGTTGGCTCTTCGATGTGACATCTATTTGTTGACGTATAATTTTAATTTTATTTACATTTTAGTTTAACTGGTTCATTTTAATTGTTATTCTTTAACTTTCGGTTTTATAGATTTTTTTTTTTTGCTGACGTAGGAACTCGCAGTTGCTATCCGTGAACGGAGCCCACCGACCACCTTGAGTGTGAACTAGGTAAACCCCACTTCATATGCAGAAGCCTGCAAACCATACAGGTGAGGTAAATCGCACTAGACAAGTCCGGTGCGACAGACTCGACCAAGAAAATGTTGGCAGGGGATTCGAACTCGTGACATTTGATCTTCGCGTTCACCTGTTCCACCAATTTGACCACCCCGAAGGGGGTTAGATTTTCCTTTATTTTGCTTGGTACTTTGCTATGGCATGGAGTCTTTCTTAAAAATTCTCTATGCTATACAAATTAATCTAATTTTAGTTTTTATGCAATTTATCATCTTCAAGCCCATATTTTGTATGACGGGTAATAAATATATTAAATAATTACTCTGATTTTATATATACTGGCATGTTTCATGAATAAGGAAAATAAAAAGACGACAAGAATGTGAAGTACGCCAGCGAAATCTACACTCGATTGAATATAAAATCGACCAACGTGGGACGACTTATTTTAAATATCTTTCTCACTAACGTATACAAATTTCTACTTACCATTTCATGAAGAAATGTTGGGGTCTACCTTTTAAAAATGCCTTGTGTTTTAATGGAGCAAACTAACTATCCCATCAGGTTCTGCTTTCAAAAAACTTAAAAATGTTCACTTATATACAAGTAAATAAGAAAATAACAATGTTATTCAATGTCATTGGTTGTAGCAGTCATCGTATGTGACAATTTGTTATTTGAGATATTAATTTCTTTTAATTTTGTAACAAGCTAATATCTCAAATAACAAGTTGTTACACGAGATGACTACTGCAATCGATAACGATGAATAATATTATTTTTTTCCTATTTACTTTTATATAAGTGCACACTTTTAAAATTAAGTGAATGGTATGCTTTTGGAAACGAAACATGATGGGATTCACCGACTATGAATGACATTACTCGTTAGAAATGTAGAGTAAATATTTAACTATGTAATATTTGTTGTGAAAGAAAATACTACACAAGACATGGCAATTGCCGCAATTCTTTAACAATTTTGTTTGCTAATCATGCATGCGAAGATTTACCTTTGCGGAAATACAGTGGTCGAATCTTGTTTTTGTCCGTTCATAAATAGTCATAATTATTAAATTCTCACGTACCATACATATGTTTTCTATTTTCTATTTTAATTAAAAAATAAGAGTACAATCGTTGTTTCAATAAAATTTGACTTGTTAATCTCTAAATCTATGAAAATTAGGAACAAGAGGTATCTTTGGAGTTTTAAATACAAAATTCGTATAAGTCGAGGACCTCTGATGTAATTTCTCCCAAAACTTTTACATTTGATCTTAAGAAAATTCACAGAGCGTTGACGGTTGACAAACATAAAATTAGTAATGATTTAAAAAGGTACATGATTAATGCTAGTAAACACAAAGTCTACAGCAATAAACAAATAATTAATCCAGAGAGAGAGGATATGAAACAATAAGAAAGCTAAATATTTTAAACCAATCAGATAAACCCAGCCAAGAATTAACATTTTAATTAAAGGTTCAAATTCAAAATTATAAAAAAAAATAATAAAAAAAAAGAATACTTTGGTAAACCTAGCTGTCAACTTGTCGTTTTCTTGTTCAAATTAAATAAAAATGATTTTGTACAAGTCATTGCAAATCTGCGTGGCAATATTTTAACCCACAAAATCTTATTCAGTAGAACGGGTGCACGAACACCATGTCGCCAGGGATGGATGTGGGTGATCGGACTGTAGCCTGGTCCAGTCCCCACCCACTGATTTTTTTAGTTAGAAAAAAAATAACTAAAAAAAATTATGTAAAAAAAAATTGCATGTAATTTTTTTTTTTTTTTTTACGTATTAGGCCGATCTGTAATTCTGTCATAGATCCGTCCCTGCATGTCGCCATGGTGATGAGAAGACGAACTTGATGCTACAAGCATTTGTTTGGTTAGTTCATACTCGATTTAAATTAATAGAAGGATTATTTCCGTTCAACGGTCATCCTATAAAGGACAAAAAGTTTTTATTGTTAATTTGATAATTGCAACTGTTCCTATTTTATCTTAAATAGAAGATACTAGATAGGATAGGAAAATTGTTAGAGACTTGGTCCTATTAAGCAAAAGGAGATGTATTGTTGACCACTTCAACTTCATTTCTACTCAACATCGTTTCTCTACCATACTTGAGTGGCAAAACACTCAATGCCCAAGCAGTTATACTATTGCTGTAGAGCAAACAACCATTTAGCGAATTGCCTTGTGTTAATGCCTATCAAAACTTAAATTGAATCCTTGGTAGTAGGTGCAATTGACACGTCCATAATAAATAGAAATTGTACTTGACGCACACATGGTAATAAAAGAAGCGAGAAACTTAAACAGAGTCGATTATCGAGACCAAGGACCACTCGAACAAGGCCAATCAAAGAGGATTAAATCCCCCTTTACACGTGCTCAGACGAGACAATCTCTTGTATATTCTTTCAATGTATTGTTGGCCGCTTTAACACCACGTTTACTTAACATCGATTCTCTCACATACTATCTCATATGGTAGAACACTCAATGCCCTAGTAGTTACATGATAATTTAATACTTCTCTGCTAGAGCCAACAATTGCTCAATGAATAGTCTTGTGTTATTGCCTTTCAAGAAATTCACTAAACACTTCACGATTTTTTGGTGGTAAGTGTAATAATACTTATATCTGAAAATCTTTTAACAATTGATTGATCCATAGAACTTCGCCGATAGTGTCAGCAAGTGCTCTGTATTCTGCTTCAGTTGATGAATGAGAGACAGTGGCTTGTCTTTTAGCTTTCCAAGAAATTAGAGATTCTCCAATGAAGATGCAAAAACTACTTCTGGACTTTTTTGTGTCCACACATGCCAATCTGCATAAGAAAATGCTTGAAATTTGATAGCTAGGACAGAAGCTTGAGCTATTCTTAAAGTAGAAGGAGATGAAGCTAAAAAGAATATGCCTTGACAAGGGTTATTTTTGAAATACCTAAAAAGATGATACATTGCTTTGAGATGAGGCAATCTGGGTTGTGATAAGAATTGACCTAATTTGTGGACAACATAAGTAACATCTGAGCGCGAAATTGTCAAATAAATCAATCGATCAAGTAGTCTTCTGTGGTGAGAAGATCTGTCAAAAAGTCCCCTTCATGTATACTGGGAGGTACATTTGGATCCGTATGAGTATTAACGGATTTACGGTCCAAGTAACTGGTGTCTTCAAGGAGTTGCAAGGCATAACATCTCTGAGATAACATGATGCCTGAGGTGGAATGAGCAATCTCAATACCCAAGAAATATTTCAAAGATCCCGGACCTTTTAGCTTGAATTGGGAATGTAAGAATTGTTTTAAAGATTCAATAGCTTGCATATTTAGACAAGTTATGACTATGTCATCGACATAAACTAGTAATGCCACAAAATTATTTCCAATGCCTTTTGTGAATAAAGAATAATTCGCTTTAGATTGAATGAAGCCAAATTGTATGAGTGCCTGAGAGAATTTTGATACAATTGGATAACAAACTAACTACTAAAAAGCGGTTACTAACCGAAAATAACATAATTAGAAACTAACTATATACAAAATGTTTGCGAAGACATAATAGTCAATATGATTTTTATTTGATTACTTCCAAGCATAAATTGGCATTTGCACCCTTATTTTCTTTTTGTGCGTGAATTGTCCAATCTTCACCACAGAAATGACATTACAAGAATCTGATTCAATCTTGTTGAATTGTAGTCCTTTTAGTTCGGAGCTTTGTAAGACAACCCTGTATTGATTTCGCAAAGGCAGCCACAACTAATTCCTTTTCATGCTACACATACCTCCGACTCCATAATGTTCCATCCCACATTTCACGGCTATGTCCACATTTAATTTTAGGCAACTCGGTGGTGATGGTGTTCAATTTTCACGAACAGTTGAATTGTCCTTGTCAAAATGTACATCGATTCAAATTTTTTATGGTGAGTCAAAGTTTTAAATAGAGTGATATCGAATGACACAAAATATTTGGAAAAATCCACAAGTTTTAAATTTCTTGCAACTCCGAAGGAAATTCCTCCGAATCTAAGGTGAAAATAGATAGGTAGTACTATTGACACGTGTAGCGAAGTGTATAGAAGTATTCCTTCCCCAATCTTCTTCTCTCTCTTCATTTTTTTTTGAGAAGGGATTTCCCCTCTTAAATTGAAGTAAAAAATAATATATTTTCTGCACAAAATCCTTCCATAAAAGCCACAGTCCCATCCAAACTGCTCTCTCAATTCTTTTCACTTTCTCCCTCTAAAAAGTGTGAAGAAGAGGACGACAGAGTCTCTCCTTTGTAATCTTCATCAGATCACGACACACACAGAAAAACATACGCCACAGAAATGCTTTATTCCGTCACCCCATTTCCATGAAATTCTTGCATATATACTCATACATATAAAATCTATACACCGATAGATAGATACAGGGAAGTATTTACACTTTTACAACAGTAAATGAGGTGCAAGAAGCATCCGGTGGACCTGAGTAGCAGCGTCGGCGTCTGCGCCTCCTGCCTCCGGGAACGGCTCTTCTCCGTTATAGCAGCACAGGAGCAAGCCCTGGCTCAGAGACAGACCCAGGCCCGAGGCCGAGAAGATCGCTTGAAATTTGATGCACAGCAACCCCCTCTTGCTTTTCCTCGGTCAGTATCGCCGTATATGTCTCACCGGAAATCCGACACCGCCGCCGCCACGTGGCAAATCCACGGCTACGACCAACGGTTCTTCAGTACTCCCCAGGTGGGTCCTACTGGATCTCTAGCAGTTGATAGTACCATCAGCAAGAAGAAACGTGCAAGTGGAAGATTTTCTTCTCTTTTTACGGGTCTATTTAGATCGAAATCAGGAAAACCCGACTTGAATTCGAGTCAGATTTCGAATCCTGCGGTTTCGGGTCAATTGAATTCTCGAGATTCTTGTAATGCTTCACCTTCGTGGTTTTCTAACATTATTCCCGGTCGGAGGAAAAAGCAGATTCGGACGTTTTCGCTTGATGAAAATGCGATACGTGCTCAACGGAGGACCTGCCGGAATAGAGATCGAGGGATGTCGCCTGTGAGGTATTCCGATGAGGACGAGCATTGCCATGGAGGATCAAGCGGCTACTCGTCGGAGTCTTCGCAAGGGTGGAAGCAAACGCCGCGGAAGACCCCGGCTATGCGGCGCGGTGGAGGAAGGCAAGGGCATAGTAGAAATGTGTCGCACTTGGCGTTTTGCTTGAGTCCATTGGTTCGCGCCAGCCCAAACCGGCACTGGAATCAGACGGGAGTTCCGCCGGAGATGGTTGTCGCTGGTGCAAGCGGAGAGATAAGGGCTCCAGCAAAGCCATATCTGTCCACTGCGGCGTCGTTTGGTAAGAATCGGTCTCGTAAACTCGCCGATTTCGGAAGGTACAATTCTAACAATTAATCGCCATGACCGTTGACATTTGCCCAAACTCATCGCCGATTTAGACAGGCTGCAATACTGAAAAGACGATTTTGCCCACAGTTTATGGTTCTATTACATTACTCTGTTCTTTTGTATTATCAATTTAAATAAAAAGCATTAAAAACAATATATATATTTTTCACTTTATAGATCATACTCTATTATTTAAAAAAGTAATGTGACGTTTGAGTGATTAGAAATTACATAAATGCCCTTGTATTTAGTGGGGGTGGCGCGGTGCACTTAGTGGATGATCCATTTGTCCCCCATTTAAAGTTATTGGTTTGTGAATTATGAGGGCCGATCGTGGGTGGGACTACAATGTGCATATTAGGTTGACCATTTGATGTGATCAAGATTGAAATTATATGTAAATATTGTCGTCTTTCAATTTTAGTAATGAATTCATGACATCACATGGTCATTTGTTTTGCCGACTTTGTGTCTCATCGAACGATGGCTCTCCACATTTGTGGACGAGAATTTCATTGAGAGATTATGGTACAAAAGTCAGTCAAGTTGTATATAGATCCGTCTTAATAGAATCGGGGTTGAATTGATTTTTATTTTATGTTAGTAATCCTATGGATTCAAGAAACCACGACAATGTGAAAATATATGATATACCTACACTTGATATGTCACGTACAAAAAAAAAACGAATTGGAAAATGAAGAATCTGTCCCCATCTGGTTTGAGCCTTTAATTTTGGGAGACTGTTGAGGAGGTAATTTCAAGGTGAGATGGTGTATTCATTACATGACTCTGACCTGTAAATTGCTGATGGTAATGGTACAGTACAATTACTATATGCAGGTAGGTAGTGTCATAAATCTTGCTATTAATTTTGGTGGGGACAAAGAAGAGAGACGGTGTCGTACTAACGTGGCCCTTACAAGGATGGATGTCTTGTGTCTTATGATCGCAAATTTACCAACAAACGATTTCTATTAAACTCATTCGCGGTCAAAACGAGGAATACAATCAATCCAACGAATGGACAAAGCGGCAAGAGAATGGGACGCGAAGTTCTACTATTGGGGCGTATCCCTTCAGAGACCGCACACCCTTTTCCGGCCATTCAGACCCTTGATCACTTCCACCGTTGCCGACTAAAAGGAGGACAAAATCGTAGTTGTTGAATCTGTAATTACCTCTGCGCCTATCACCTCCCCACCATGAGTCAACCAGTTTCTATCCCCTCCTATGCTCTATCACAAAATGCAGGTTTTCTCCAGCCTTTCAGTTAGAACAATTATGAAAAATTCCCAATACCGAACAATATCCGACGAGCCAGCCTTTTTCCCGACAAATTTGGTCACATAACAGTTGAAAAGAGTACGAGAATTGGACTTCATTTGTCCACATTTGCTACGCCCCCATGTCTACATAGAGATGACACCCTCCGAAAGAATATGCGCACTTTTGGCGGCGGAATGTTGAGTATACATAATGAGTAGTGTTATTCATGATCAGCGACTGCAGTCGTCATCTTACTTGACGTAAAATTACTTATTCCTTTTCTAAATTATTGAAATTATATCATGTAAGATGCCACGTAGAATGACTACTGTAATCGCTAACTATAAATAAAATTATTCATCCACGATACTTTCCACCAATTAGATATGTAGTTTTGTACTAGACTTGATAGATTATCCCACTAGAGCAGGTTATAATCACTCCGCACAGTGTGGCTCCCTTTCTTATCATAGTATCATATATTATGATCATATTTAGAGCCTAGATAGTTTTATGTTTACGGTTACAACTCACATTTAAAGACTTTTTCACTTTCTTTGTTTTTAATTTTTTTTTTTCGCTTTTCATTTGTTCATCGTAAGATTGTGAAAAAGAAAAGGAGCCATTGAGTTACCTTATTTGGAAATTTGGGGAGTCGAGTCTAATTCAAAATTTGTAACAAAGATTACGATAAAATTTTCTTAGTTCCTCGCTTATTTAACTTATCTACATAATCTAATGAATTTAATAAAAAATAATTAAAATTGGATTCTTTTAGAGATTGAGTGCTTTGATGTAAAGATATGAACGACATTTTGAGGTCGTACTTTGTGGTGGTTTTCGGGGACGACGATGAATTCAGGTGGTGGTTTCGAGAGTGTGTAATAGAAATTGTCATTAATTACTAGTATAATCTTTGACTTTTCGAAGGAAAAAGGTCATTAATTACTAGTATAATCTTTGACTAGAATTCAATCGCAAGTTCATACCGAACATTCTTTGTGGAAAAAATCATTGACAATACTAGTTTTGAAAATTTGATGAGGCAAATCCAATTAGTTTTGTTGACGTCAAGAAGTAACGTGGCACTTCAGATTTAACTTTTATGCTATGTTCATTGAGAGAAAATTCATTCTGACAGAGAGAATTTTTTGTCCTTGAATCAATGTTTGCTCGATTAGAGTCAATTACCCTACTTAACCGTTTTATTAGTTGAACTCGTCAGTTAAGTTTGGCTCGAAGCAACGATCTGAACTCGTTAGTTGAAGTCAACCCCCCACAATGTGGTTGCCGATCTCTTTTGATTTCCATGTTGAACACGTGACGATCGACGTCTTATGTGGGCCATGGTCAAGTGGGACCTTCTGTCCGATGTTAGTGCTCGGAGGTCAACAACTTTGTATCTAACTACCCTTATTTCATAACCCATTGTTGAGACTTTTCTTTGATTTTGTTGATATTTAAATTAATAGTATTTAATAGTGTTATATATATATATATCAGAAATGATCTAATGAGCACCGGTGCTCATCTTATCCTAAACACCAATGAGTTGGCACATTAATTCATTGGTGGATTGGAACTCACAAAATCTTTATCCACCAATGAATTAATGTGCCAACTCATCGGTGCTTAGGATAAGATGAGCACCGGTGCTCATTAGATCATTTCTG